AGTATACATGAATTGATTGAACCTTTAGTGAACTCGTATTTCGTTGAAAAAACTCATCCAACATACGTTTGCATTAAAATCGAGTACCTATGAAACGAACTGAGATTTTCATTACCTATATCACATGTGCAATGAAAGTACAATCTATTTCTTAGATATATTCCATGTTTGTTTGAAAGTAGTTGTTTCCGGTGGTTTTCTCTTTCAGTTTTTGTCTGAAAGTTACTTCTTTGTATGAGCTAAACATCTTTGTATAGAGTTAGTTTCCACATAAATGAATGCTTTATGCGTCAAATTTCGAGAAGAAACCCCCTCGGGAACTCAGCATACGAAATAAACTTCAAACTTAACCGAATGATTGGCATTTCACGCGTCACCCTTGCCTCGTAACAACCTCGTTCTGATTTCAATAATGAATTACCTCGAATGGAATACAATGTATCTCGCCCGGGGAATCAATTGCTTGTCACCGACACAGTATCTCGTCTATTCATCTTATTGATTTTGTTCCGTATCTACCGCCTCTGGGGTTAATAAACCTAACGCGGTACAAGAAGGTGATACGACTATTGAGGCGAACATTTTATGTAAATCACACGAATTTGTCTCGACGAAATCAATTTTCTCTTCGCTCTGTAAGGAAATGTATTACGCTATTGTAATCACTAAATAATCAGATGCAGTTATTATAGATACTGCGACTACTGTTGCAAGTTACGGAAGATATTGGTGATAAGAAGGCGCTGCAGATTTTTTTCCCAGTTGAAACTATCGGTTGAACCTACTCAAAGGCAATTTTGAACATTTGACAGTTTGAATTTTCGATTATGACTAACAGACAGTATAAACTGTCGATGATAAAATAAAAATACTCTATGACCCTTTAGCGCCTTCGTAGGATGGTTTTCAATGCGATTGCATTACTACAGGCTGATTCACGGTGGATGGCACATTAGACGTTTCTGGTGAACCAGACAACAGATCACTTTGAAAATTCAATGGAGGGCATATTCGGACATTCTCTAGCCAACTAAAATATTTTCGACAATGCGGTTTTGCCGCTTCTATTAGAAAGCAGTAGCAATTTTGATTTTTCAAATGGAACACTCTGTATATAATATTATTTTTGGAATCTCCAACAATTGCCCGACAACTTTTCTTGATATTTCCCTATACCTATCTGTTACCGTTTTCGAAATAAAAATTAATTTCAATTTTTTTCTTCGAAAATCATGACTTCTAAAAATGCCGATATCTTTTAGTTAAGAAGTACTATGATATCGAAATTTGGTTTGGAGTTAGGTGATACTTGGACACTTCCCACACGTCAGCCTAATCTCCG